CCCCTAGTCTCGTGTTCTATGTGACGTGTAGAATAGGTCCCGTGTCGTAGTCAGACCCGTATAGTGGAGAGAGGATGATGGGGGTATTACCCGGCTCTCTCCTCCACGCGGGGGACTTCTTCTGATTGCATCCGGATTGTTGGGAAGATTTCTCCTCCTCGGAATCGGAGAGATCCAGAGAACACGGCGGCAGCCGCGGACTGTCATCACCGTCATAGTCCGGGCTCAGCACGCCCTGCACCGGCCCGCCCCCAACAGGGTTCCGTGTACCCTACAATGAGGAGGAAGAGACCACGGATACCGTTAATCAGATCATACATGACACACGACGAGACCACAGGTACCGATAATCAGATCATACATGACACACAACGAGACCATGGGTACCGATAACCTGATCATACATGACACTGTTGCTGGGGTCCTTGCACAATGGTGAGGGGTTCCTGTGTCCTCACAGACCTGACATACATTCCGGGGTACATCATACAGATATGATATCTGACCCTTCCCACCGCCCGCTCACAGCTCTCACCGGCCTGGCTTCCCCTATCCGGGCGGAGATTCTCTCCAGGAGGCTCCGGGACTCCACCGCCATCACCGGGCACTGGACAAGCTTCAAACTTCGCGCGGACTGTGCCTTCCGGCAGAACACAGTTCGCTCTGACGTCACTTCCAGCGTCCTGTCTAGTGTTGTGACTGCAATACTATTTCCGGGGGGCGTTACGCATACGTGACGTGGTGCTACTTCCGGGGAAGAAGGCTATGATCAGTGTGAGGACAATCTTCATACAATGTTCTAGATTATTAATGTGAAATTATATCAAATGGAAGCAAAACTCCGACCTGTGATCATAACGTCCTAGTGTACACTCACCTGTCCTAGTATACACACTCACCTGTCCAGTATACACACTCACCTGTCCTAGTATACACACTCACCTGTCCAGTATACACACTCACCTGTCCTAGTATACACACTCACCTGTCCAGTATACACACTCACCTGTCCTAGTATACACACTCACCTGTCCCCTCCCCCCCTTACACCCCCCATAGTCCAGAGACAGTTTGTCATTTCTGATATAATTGGATCAATAACATTCATCAGGATAACAAAGAGATACATTTCCAGATTTATTGATTGCGTTACATTTCATCCCCCGATGAAGGAGGCGGGGCTACGACCTCCGGAACGTGCTGGTGTCTGTAAACTTGTATCCATGTCCTCTGCCTGTATCCTGGTTATCCGTGACCTCTCCCTGCCCCGACCTCTGCCTGTATCCTGGTTATCCGTGACCTCTCCCTGCCCCGACCTCTGCCTGTATCCTGGTTATCCGTGTCCTCTCCCTGCCCCGACCTCTGGCTGTATCCTGGTTATCCGTGTCCTCTGCCTGCCGTGACCCATCCCAGATGTACCCGCACAGGAAGTGTCCCGATCATATTACATGATTGTATTTTACTGATAAACATGGCGGAGGACCCGGCGTCCTCGGTCCTCGTATATACACCCGGCGTCCTCGGTCCTCGTATATACACCCGGCGTCCTCGGTCCCCGTATATACACCCGGCGTCCTCGGTCCCCGTATATACACCCGGCGTCCTCGGTCCCCGTATATACCCCCGGCGTCCTCGGTCCCCGTATATACACCCTGCGTCCTCGGTCCCCGTATATACACCCGGCGTCCTCGGTCCCCGTATATACACCCGGCGTCCTCGGTCCCCGTATATACACCCGGCGTCCTCGGTCCCTGTATATACGCTGTAACGGCGGTATATACACTTTATAACCAGAGTAGTTGCGCTAGGATATATTATTGAAAGATTAACCAGCTGCAGCAATGTCTATCAACGTGATCAAGTGTGTGCCGGTGTGCTGCGCTTGGTTGTGTGTGTTCCACCTATTAATTTAACTATAAATTATATATAGAAATGTGAAATATCACAACATGAATACGAACACGTGGCTGCCAGTGATCAAATTCTCATTACAACTGTATACTTAAATACATGTTAATAAGGGGAATAACAAAAGTTCATGTATAACTAAATATTCGTGCCTAATTAAGTAGTGAAGTATTGGTTTATTATTTTCTATAGTGGTGTATAAATAATTAAGAATATAGATAAATCAAATAAAAAATATATATTTGTGTGAACAAATTATTTGGGAGAAATGTAGTGTAAAATCTAGTTTAAACGAGTGAACCAGTAAATTTCATCCGTCTGACATTCAATACTGATAGTAATTGTAAAACAGCCGAAGGCTATAAACCGGTGTACTAAAGGTCCTTATAAAAATCACATCTACTAATATGAAGTGAATATAAGAAAAACAGGGGTATAATTCCAACGTCGTTTGGAGGATAATAGATGTTTGCTGTTTATACCCCTGTTTTTCTTATATTCATGTAACGGAGGTATATACACTGACCAGCAATGTTACGGAGGTATATACACTGACCAGCAATGTTACGGAGGTATATACACTGACCAGCAATGTTACGGAGGTATATACACTGACCGCCAATGTAACGGAGGTATGTACACTGACCAGCAATGTAACCGAGGTATATACACTGACCAGCAATGTAACAGAGGTATATACACTGACCAGCAATGTAACGGAGGTATATACACTGACCAGCAATGTAACGGAGGTATATACACTGACCAGCCATGTAACGGAGGTATATACACTGACCAGCAATGTAACGGAGGTATATACACTGACCGCCAATGTAACGGAGGTATATACACTGACCAGCAATGTAATGGAGGTATATACACTGACCAGCTATGTAACGGAGGTATATACACTGACCAGCCATGTGACGGCGGTTTATACACTGACCAGCAATGTAACGGAGGTATATACACTAACCAGCCATGTAACGGCGGTATATACACTGACCAGCAATGTAACGGAGGTATATACACTGACCAGCAATGTAACGGAGGTATATACACTGACCAGCAATGTAACGGAGGTATATACACTGACCAGCCATGTAACGGAGGTATATACACTGACCAGC